AGATGGGGCGCAGGGGGATGTGTGGGCCCGCGAGGGTGTCATGATCAGTGTGGCTCGTGGAGGTTCACCTCGTCTCTGACAGCGTTTGGTGGGACACAATCGCCGGGCCTGGAGGCCTGGCCTATCGGCGTCGGGCTCCGGCTGACCGCGAGGGGCTAGGCCGTTTCAGAGGCGGAGTAGGCTGCTGAGCCCGGTGTGATCGCGCGCGCAGTCCAGTTTGCGGAGGCGGCCGCTGAGGTTGCCACGGGGGCTGCGGTTGGTGCTGCCGACGTGATTGGCGCCGTCGACCTCGCCGCTGATTTCGACGACGCCGCCGACGCCGCTCAGATCGAGCCGTCGATCGGCGGCGGGCGGGCACGGCGGTGGCGGCGCGGCAAGCGGGCGGCTGGGATGCCGCGCAAGGGGGGCGAGGACGGGGGCAAGCGCGACAAGGCGGCCGCCGCAAAGCTGAGCAAGGAGGCGCGCAGCTGGCTGTGGCGGCAGACCAAGCCGGAGCTCGGCTTTTACCTGACGGGCCTGGTCGGCGCCGCCATCACTGGCCTCGCGATGCCCGCCGTCGGGTTTCTCATGGCGCGCTTCATAGTCGTTTTCTACAACGTCGACGTCGACGAGATGCGGCGCGACGCGTTGTTGTGGGCGCGTGCCCCTTGCTGCATCGGGACGTCGCGGCGAGCCTAGCCTCGGCCATAACTCTGAGCATTCGGCGACAGGCGCTCGTCTTTCTCGGTATGGGAGCTGCGCAGTCGCTAGGAGCCGGCCTCCGCCAGGCGGGCGTTTGCGCCTCCGGCTCTCTCGCCCAGCTCGCCGCGCCGCCGCATCACACCCACGTCGACGCCCGTTTGCCGGCAGGTCTCTTTCTCCGTCATCACCGAGCGGATGGTGCGCCGCATCCGCCTCGCCGCCTTTGAATCGATCCTGCGGCAGCCGATTGCCTTTTTCGACTCGTCCACGGTGAGCGCATTCGGCGTTTGGCGCTGCGGCGCCGGGGCGCACGCCCATGACGCGCTCGCGGTGGTGTCCATAGGAGCACACCGCGGGCGCCCTCGCCAATCAGCTCGCTGCCGACTGCCACCTCCTCAAGGCGCTGACGGGTGAGCGCGCCGGGCTCGCAGTCTCGCAGGTTCGCACCGCCCCCTCCCCCTCTTCCCCCGCCAGACCTGACCCACTGCTCTCGCGGGGCAGATCGCGGTTCTCATCGCGGGGCTCTACATCTCCTTCGACGCTTCCTGGCGCCTTACTCTCTGCATCTTTGGCGTCATTCCTGCCATCGTGCTGCCCGTCGCCGTCCAGGCTAAGGTGGTGGGCAGGTACGCAGAGCGAGCCAACGCTTCCCTCGTGCGGGCTGCGTCGGTCGCCTCGGAAACGCTGCTGCAGCTGCGCACCATCGCCGCTTTTGGGCTCGAGGCGCGCGCCGTCGATGCTTTCACCGCCGAGCTGTCGCTGCCGTACAAGCAGGACGTCCTCAAGGGTGCTAGCTCGTCGCGAGCGACACGCCTCCGCGCGATGGGCGTCAGGGCGCACGCGTGGGACCCGTCTGTAGGCGTCGCCCTGGGCGTGGGGAGCGGCACGGCCGCCGGTACTATCCTTTTCGCCGCCGCCTTCCAGTACGTTGTGGGCGCGCTCTTCTTTGACGCCGACTTGATCAGCTTCTCCGACATCATGAGCTGCCTCCTCGTCCTCATCTTCATGGCCTTTGGCTTCGCCACGGTCTCGCGGGACGTCTCGGACCGCGCCGAGGCCATGCAGGCGGCACGGCGCGTGTACAAGCTGGTCTCGACGCTGTCGGCCATCGACGCCCTCGCCGGCACGGGCGCCGTGCCGCCGTCGGGGCGCGCCGCCGGCCGGATCGAGCTCGTCGAGGTGAGTTTCGCGTACCCGGCGCGGCGCGACGTGCAGGTGTACCAGGGCCTCTCGCTCACGATCGAGCCGGGCGCCACGGTCGCGCTCGCCGGCCCGTCGGGGTGCGGGAAGTCGACCCTCGTCGCGCTGCTCGAGCGGTGGTACGACGTCGACGGCGGCCGCGTCGTGCTCGACGGCGCCGACGTGCGCTCGCTGTCTGTCCGGTGGCTGCGCTCGCAGATCGGGCTGGTGAGCCAGGAGCCGGTGCTCTTCAACGGTACGATCGCGTACAACATCGGCCTCGGCGCGGCGGCGGCCGGCGAGGGCGGCGGCGAGGGCGGCGGCGAGGCGGCGGCGGCGGCGGTCGAGGTTGCGGCGCGCCAGGCCAACGCGCACGCCTTTGTGTCGGCGATGCCGGACGGCTACGCGACCGAGGTTGGCGACAAGGGCGTGCAGCTGTCGGGCGGGCAGAAGCAGCGGATCGCCATCGCGCGCGCGCTGGTGCGCGACCCGCCGATCCTGGTGCTCGACGAGGCGACGTCGGCGCTCGACGCCGAGTCGGAGCGCATCGTGCAGGCCGCGCTCGACGAGCTGCTACGCGCGCAGCGCCGCACGACCATCGTGATTGCGCACCGGCTGAGCACGATCCGCAACGCCGACAAGATCGCGGTGGTGAGCGGCGGGCGGGTGGTGGAGGAGGGGCCGCACGACGAGCTCGTGGACCGCGAGGGCGGCATCTACCGGTCCCTCGTGCTGCACAACAATGCCGGGCGCGTCGAGCTGTGAGCACCGCGGCGCGCGAGCGGGTGGGACACATGTGGCTTGTGGGAGATAGAGATCTAAGAGCGGGACGGGACCCGGACAGAGCACACGGTTTGGGAGGGGGGGCGAGAGGGGGCAGCTGCGCGTGTGCCTGAGAGAGAGTGTGCGCTGTAGCATGCGAGCGGGCGCCGCGGCCGCAACCGCGCTCTCTCGCACAATACCGATCACACATATCACTGACATATGTGTGTGGGCTGTCGGTGGCTGCACCGGGCGCGGGCCGCTGCCGTGGGGCGAGAGAGGGAAAATTAATAAGGCGTGTGCGCGCCGCGCCGCGAACCGCCGGCCGGGCCCGCCGGCCCCGAGCTCTCTGCCCCCGCCCGCCCCAGGCCCCGCGGTTGTCTCGCATGTCGCGGACGGGGGTCCGGGGGCGGGGCAAGCGCGCGGGGCGGGCGGGCGGCGGCGGAGACTATTGCAATATAGAGGTTTGGTATGCTAAGTAAGGGACATTCATCTACTGTGGGTTTATGGTTTTTCAATGGGTGGTACTACGCAAGACTCAAAAAGACGCACATAACATGATGTGCGTCGCGCCAGAACCGTCCTATCCACTCTCTCGGCTATACGCCATCGCCCGCTAGTCGTTCGGCGCATTCAGTCGCCGAGCATGGAGAGCGGCAGCTTTGACAGCGTGCGGGAGTCGAGCGGCCCCTTCGGCGCGAGCACCTTCACGTTGATACCGTCCTTGACGAGGCGGCCCTCGGCCTGCAGCGCCTCGTACCGCTCGCGAGGCAGCTTCGTGAAGCCCCAGTTGTTGGAGACGCAGAGGCGCTGCCGGCCGGGGAACTTGTACTTTGCGCGGCGGAGCGACTCGAGCACCTGCGGCTTGTGCACGTCGCGGGCGCGCACCGAGAGCAGGATCTGCCCGATCTCGACGCGCGCAACCGTGCCGTACGTCTTGCCGAACGCGCCGCGCATGCCCGTCTGCAACCGATCCGCGCCGGCGCACGAAAGCATCTTATTGATGCGGAGCACGTGCCACGGGTGCACACGGATACGCAGGTGGAAGGACTCCTTGCCCGCGTTCTTCACCATGTACTTGTTGCACGCCACACGCGCCGCCTCGAGCGCCTCGGAAGAGAGCTGCTCCTTCTCCACAGACACCATGTGCGCGGCGAACGGGAAGATGTCAACGGGGTACTTCTTCTTGCCCGCGTCGTAGATGCGAATTTTCGGGTCTGCGCGCGCGCGCGCGGCGGGGCGGGCGGGGTTGGCTCTCGCACAGCGGGAGCGGGGCAGAGTCCCAATGCCCCAGGCGCGACGTCCCGGCGGCAGCGAGGCGGGGGGAGGGGTCCCTCTCACCAGGGACGCCGCGGTTGAAGCGCGACTTTGGGTACGGCTTGTTCTTCTGGTACCGATAGCACTGCAGGCAGAGGGAGCGGCGGACTCATGGGTGGACGTCGCCATCTCCCATGTTCACGGCTGGGCCCGGTCGGGCCCTTTGGAGAGCCCGGCGCGCGTGCGGCGCGTCTGAAGCGATACGAAGGGGCTGCGACGTGCGGCGCGCGCGCCTTGAAGGGGCGCCGACCCATCGCTGCTGCCGCCCTGCGCCGAACTCCTGCGAGCAGGGCGGGCGCGGCGAATGACCCGATGGACGCGGCGGCGACTTCCCCGGCGCCTCAGAGAGGAGAGAGAGAGCGCGCGGCAGGCCAGCGCAGCGCGCGGCGTGGGAGCAATCGCATGGCGTGCGTGCGCGAGGCCCCTAGGGGCGCTCTCTGACCAAGGCACGGAGAGGCAGCGAAACAAGAAACCACGCGGCGGCACGGTTCTGACTGTCAACAGGGGGGGCTGCGCTTGCCCGCCAAAAGAAAGCCAATTCTTGACGTGGAATCACACCTAGGGGCGCTCTGGCCTCTCGACGGCACGCGAGCCCAGGCGTATTTCTTTTTGGTGCCGGCTAATAAATCTGTCCCGCGTCCACCCATACCGCGCTGATGTCCAGTCCGAGCCTGACTGTTCTTCACCTTTCTACGAGAGGAGAGAAACAAGAAACGCTCTTCAGGAAACAAGAAACAAGTCAGGATACGGCACGGGAGGCGTTCCGTGTTTCTTTTTGGTGCCGGCAGGCCGAAAGAGAATTTTACAACAAAACTCCCTCGCACAACACTGGGCACGGGACTGGCGCGCACTGGCACTAACACAGGTACACTGAAAGAGAATTCGGGTCTCCACCTATACAGCGGGCGGGGCGGCCCACACCTAGGTGCTCTGGACCTATACGGCACGGGAGGTGTTCCGTATTTCTTTTTGACTCAGTCCGTTTTCTTTCGTCTTTTTCACGACGAATGGGGCCAGTCAGAGAAAGTCCAAAGAGCAAGACGGTTGTTAAGCGTGCCAACAATACCTTAGGGGACCCCTAGGCTTAAATGGGTGGGCCCTGGGGCGCCTGCGGCTTAAACGGCTTAAAACTGGCCCGGGCCGGTTTTAAGAGCTGCTGGGCCGCCGATTCCTTAAACGGTCTTAAACGCTTAAACGGTGCGGGAGAGCTCCCGAGGTCGATGGTCCGGGAGGCTCCCGGTAGACACGCCGGAGGCCGGGGCGGGAAGCTGGCTACAGTCAGCTAGCACGCGTCCCCTATGCGAGTATGGCTCCTACCAGTGCACCAGACTTACAGATGTGTCTTCAGAGCACAGAGGCGGGTTTGTGCCTAATAACGGCAGTATTGGAGGAAAACCGCGGCGCGGAACCCAGCGACGCATGCTGGTGAGGCCGATTTTCTTAAACGGTCTTAAAAGAGGGACCCCCCGTGCCTGCAATCTCTTAAATGGCAATTTAAGCCCCCAAACCTCCTCATTTCTTAAAAGCGCTTAAAAAATCCGGCCCTCGGAGAACCCTCTAGGGGTCCCCTAAGAACAATACACCTAGGTTGTTAAGCGTGCTTGAAGAACTCTCCCAGGTCCGCGAAATCATCAAGGTCACTCTATTGGCCTCGCCACGGGCCACGGAACGCTGTGACCGATACGGCTTTATCCCGCTCGTAACTTTCAGCAGCTAGAGAGGAGAGACGGAGAGAGAGCCGGCGGGCATAGCGGGTGGGGAGGCCCTAAAACGGCGGGAGGGGTAGGGCTATATCGATAGAGCTAGAGGGCTCAACCACCCCTCCACCCCTCCACCCTCCACCCCTCCACCCTCCCGGAGCGAGAGAGGTCCGTCTTCGAGCCCTCCCACTTCCACCCCTCCGACCGGAGGGCTCGCCAGCCCACAGGGCTGGAGGGGTCCCCGTCGGATCGGCGTCGGGAGGGCTCCACAGGGCTAACCCCCTCCCCGGACGCCGGGTGGGCTCGGAGGGACGGTCGGACAGGGGAGGATCTTCATGGCGGGAGGGCTCGAGAGGGGTCGGAAGGGCCCTCCGGGAGGGGTCGCAAAAAGATAAAGAAAACGAAATCGCGGCTTATGTGACTGCCCCCAAGAGGGCTCGGAGGGCTCGGAGGGCTCGGGAGGGCTGGAGGGCTAGAGGGCTCCATTAGGGCTCGGAGGGGTCGATCCTCTGAGCCCTCCGACCCCTCCGAACCCTCCGACCCCTCCGACCCCTCCGACCCCTCTGCGAGCGCTAGGGGCCCTCC